GTTTTGCCTTACTTTCATTTTTCTGAAGATTACCGTTATTAATGTCTCACATTTTATAATTCTATTTATAAATTAAATTTACGATGTTTTTCCTCAGATTTTATAGTCTTGGGCATAAAAAAATCTTTATTTTTAATTCAACAAGAAACGTTTTTTTTAATTTAATATAAAAATTAAAAGTCAAGCTAAAGCCTTCAGCCACGAAGAATCCTGAATAAAAATTCAATTAATATATTCAATAACAGGTCGATTGATTAAATAATGTTTAATATAAAGGATCAGACAGAAAAATTCAGAATCGTATTCTATATTTTACAGAATTTCATAGATAGCTCATTGTTAAACATTACAAGAACTGAACGTAGCCACTAATTTTAAAATATCAAGGACTCTGAAACGAGTCAAGTTTTTAATAACAGTGGGGGATAAAAACATTTATTTATTGAGAAGATAAATTCAATCAAATCAATTGCCTACGGCTCAATCAATCACATCGTTTTGGATTGATTGCACATCCATTTTCTGCTGATATACAGGGTGACTGGTGAATTACTATCAATATTTAAGGAGCATACTCGGTACATGATTCTCATTCGAATTATGTAAAAAAAATAGGTACTTAATTTTTGACCAAATTTCCGTATAAATAAATAAAGTGTGGACACGTTCCAAGTGTTCCAAGTGTGAACGCGTGCGGCAGCGTGCTGATACAACACTACGCCGCCGCCGCGTCTGTGTGAGTGTGTGTGTATACCTAATCTGTAGGGTGTTCATACGATGCGTAATTAATTACACAACTTTTGGTTAACTTTACTTAGAAGTTTATTAATATTTATGTTATATTAATTTTTATTTCGTCATATATGATCGTCAAATATCACGTCCTCAAATATCGATAGTAATTCACCAGTCACCCTGTATATATAACTGTTATATTAGAAAATAAACAAGAACGCAATTAATTTGATGATTATGTGCCTCAAAAATAATTTATTATTTACTTTTCACACGAAAAGGCCAAAAAGCTTTCAATGATCTTCCGCTTGGAACAAATGTAATGTGAACGGGAATGTGAGCGTGTTACACATTTTATTACGATATTTTGGTGTAATATTACCCTTATGTTAGATATAACATTGGGATGGCAAAAATATCATAGCAAAATCGTTTCCAAATCCTAATTTAACCACCAGCATTACTCGCGTACAACATTTCGTTCGTATCTAAATTATGGAAATATTTTATGTAAAGTTGATTCCTATGAATATAATGATTTTTTTTATTTCCCAAAATTAATTAGAATAATTTTCTTTTTTAAAGATAATAATAATCAATTATTTCAGCTTTGAGAAAAGGATCGCAAAGTGAAACCATACTTAAAATATATTTATTACTTTTATAAAAACACTTTTCTGGTTGTTATACTACACAGGACCGAAAACTGTAGTAAATAATCTTTTTTTCAGCACTGTAGCTGACTTGTTAACCAAATTACTGCCTTGCTAACTGCGTTTTGCCCCTGAAGATCTTTAGGATTATGCTGATTGATAACCGGACAAGATGAGTCAGTGGCCATTTCATGATTTGAGGGATTTAGTAGTCTTCATATCAAACCCACAATAACAAAGCGAGTCTGGTGGTGTAATTAAATTATAATTTTATAGTGCACCTCAGTTATAAAAATGTGTATTCTAATCTCCAACCTGTTTATAACATCCCACAGACTAGGGGCTCTTTGCCAGAGACGCAGAATCAATGGCCTACAGATACGATGTATAACACATAACTGTTTGTAGTATAATTTTCATCATCACGTAGTATGTGAGTGAGTATACCTATTCACAGTGCCGGCGTTAGGGGGGGGGCGATGGGGCGACGGCCCAGGGCGCCAAATTTGGGGGGTGATTAGTGGAGGTAGGATACTTATAAATGAAAAAAATAAAAAAAGGAGCTACATGACTTTCTACGTCCACATCGTTTGCTCTGGGTTACGCTAAAGGAAAGATGGAAGATGGAATATGGAATATAGAATTCTTAATACACGTTCAGTGTTCACATTGGTTCTAAAAAAAATTAATACTCGATTTTAGTTTCTTCAAGTGGGCGCCAAAATATTCTTCCCCAGGGTGTCAGTCCCTCTAACGCCGGCACTGCCTAGTCATTTAGCCTAACATGAAACCCTTCAATGCAACTCTAATGCTTACCATCAAAATTAGCTGTTTCCACATATAATGATGACTATGTACAGTGCAGAATTTTTAATTTTTTCAACAAGTTTTTTTAAGATAATATCTATCACTTAAAATTGCGACACTCTTTGATAATAATCAACAAATCTAAACTAATATATCATCGAAGATTAATCCCAACTGAAAACTTCCGACCACCAGCTTTTTAATCTGTATCAATATCACCACCTAATTATAAGGTTCACAGTGAAAGACAAATGTAGTATAAGAAGTTCACAATTTGGAATAAGATACGTCTTTAGGTTTCATCTTATACCCCCCAGAAGGTTATAATCTATAAGGAAGGCATTAAAATACTTTTATCTCTTCAGTTACAAACCCATTAATGGCAAAGCTCTAATAATTTACAGCCAAAATTTATCTATCCGAAAAGTAAATTGTAAGTATCCCGCATATCCTCCTGAACAAATGGTTGAAACCTCATATCTCCGATTGCTATTTCTTAAAAGAGACCATTTTACTAGGCTACTTTTTTCAAAGAAAAAAAACATTAAATAAATCTAAAGTCAATCGTATTAGACAATATATATTATACACGAGGAGAAATATATATTATAGGCTACATTAATATTATATATTATGCACTACTGAGTTCAAGAATTAGACAGCTATTAAGAAACTTAGTGTCTTTGCAGATACAGGTGTAATGATCGTAAAGCACTACACAGTCGGTGCTAATGAAAAGGAATAGAGTTCATTAGTAACAAATCATCTTTCAATTATTTACATAAATTGAACTTAGAAAATCTGTTTTTAACGATGCAAATTACGATTTAAAAATATAGAAAACCAGTAAATAAGATTTAAAAATAGTTTGCTGACGTCATAAAAGTGTATTTACAATTTATTAAACACACTTGACTGAAAATAAAAATCTAATTTGGGATAGAAATTATAAAATTCAGAGGTTAAATTTGTTCAACATATGTATAAAAAGTCGCATTGAAAACTCATTTTTTTGAAATTGCTGAATATTAAGAAAATTATTTAGTTCAGATCTCAAAAAAACTATCATGACTCGACACATTTATTGAATACTGTTGTCACAGTTTTGGATTTGGGCCAACTAGATGTGTTCTAAAGAACAGTTTCATTGACGTCCAATAAAAATAATGTACAACTTCCGTAACATAAAATATATAAGTCATACAAAAATTGAGCTTTTTGTAGATTCACTGAGATTACAAGTCTTAAAAACAGTCGTAAATTGCTCAAGTATATATCATAATTTTGCTATGAAGATATTCTTTTTCTTATAAAAAATATAGTTCCGTTCATCTTAAGCTACAATTCGTTTTATGTTGACCTTCTTCGAAAATTTTTAGGGTAGTATGTTTTACACAAAAATAAAAAGTAACTTTTTCGAAATTTATTTTCGCTGTTTATATTATAGACATAAGTAATGCAAAAAGAAACTTGATAATTAACCTACGATCTAATATTCGTTATAACTTTACTTTAAAGTACTCGTGTATTGAGAATGCTCTCGCTGATTGAATTATTTTTATAATTATAATTGCTTTAATTAAACAGGGATATCGATCTATTTATTTAGGCTACAGAATCAATTAGAAAACCATTAATATCGAAAGTTATTGAGATTGACCTTATGGCCATTTTGGTTAAATGTAGAAGTAATTTGAACTTCTTGCTAACAATTTTAATATATAATACATTAATCAAATGTATTTAATTTTTGGAATGTTAATTAGGTAAGTACTAGTATATAAATGGAGTTTTAATCCCAAGGCTTTCAAAGGATTTCGTTGGCCCTTTTTATATATTTACGAATTCAAATCACATTAAGAAAATCCAAATATTTAGATAAACCCAACAGATATCTTTTATGCCTTTTAAAGAATGCCAAGGCACGTGACAAAAGGGTATAATTTTCTTACGAATCCCTATGTTATTGTAATATTTTTACAAAAAAAAAAACATGAAAAGGGTGACTTCATCGGGTTTCCAAAGCTGATAGAATGAAGGCAGGTCTGTTATCTCGTATAATGTCAAAAATATAAGCGGTACTAAGAAAGTTTCTTTTGCAGGTTTCGAGTGCTAATTCCTTTTATCTCAAATTTCACCCGACTGGTTCAACAAAATACTTGGACGCAAAATCTTTTCAAAGTCAATGAAGTTTCGTGAGTTTTATTGACTAATGAAATATGTAATTATATTTTAGCAACATTTATGGTCTTTCCTATGTACCTTAATTACTTATGAACAAGGCAGAGTCCATTTTATAATTTTCAAATTAATTAAAACATATAAATTAGGGCATTTCTGTACCTGAGAGGTATACAACATTAACTGATAAAACAAAAATTTTACAGGACAGGTAAAAATGCGCGGAACGAAACTTTGGATGCAATTTTGACATAGTAGCTTTCAAGATATTGCGACAAACTTAACATTATTTTTTATTATTATTTGTTAGAATTATATTGTATTACATAATATTATACTAAAGTTATTTTTTATCTGATTTTGTGGACTTGAGGTTATTTACCTCGCAACATATACTAACTAAAGTGTTTTAAGATAGCATTAAGATATCATACTTTTGTTTACCTCTAAATAAACCTTGTGGATGTTATTGGAATTTGGCATTCAAAAGCATTATGTCTCTTGACAGTATATAGCCTAATAGAATTATTAAGGAATTTCTTAGGGGTTTAATAACAAAATGAAACAAAAGTTACTTCACAAAACTAAAATCAAAATACAATTTATTTTAAATAACCAAAACAGCTACTCGCACGCTTCAGGTAAGTCCGGGACATCTGCACATGGAAGATTCCTGTAATAGTCATGGAACATGGCTGGTATCCACTGCAACGATTTTTGTAAGTCGTTATACTTGAGTCTCGAAATAGGTCTTGGGTTTTCTCGTATAGGTTTCGGCGTGGGTATAGAAAATCTTTTCCATTTATTTCTTACGAAACTAACTTCTTCGAATGTTTCCTGGTCAAAAGAAGTTTTGTAAAACATCGAACCAATCTCATTTTTTCGGAATTGCATCCATACAATAGCAGAATATGGTACAGACTCTCCCGCAATCGATTTTTTTTCTATGCACAAAAGGAGCTGATGACCCGTTGCAGAAGGCTGAAAAATCCATGAAATCCATAGTTTCCATGTTCACCACCTTAATTTTGCAGTTCCTTGAACAGCTTTTTATAAACTGTTGCCAGTCCCAGGGAGTCACGTTTGAAAACTCTTGCATTTTCTTTTTTTCTCTTTCTATTATAGAGTGAACAACGTCCACTTCCATGTGTGTGTGGCCCTTTAATAAGTATTTGTGGTTTATTACCTCTATATTTTCTTTTTGTGACAATATCCACAAATAAGCCATCATTAAATAAATATTTTTATTTTGCCCCACACAGTTGTCGCTCCATACTGTTACTTCTTTCAATGCGCTATCGTTTAGCTGCTCAAAAAACTTAACTATTCCTGACGCCATTTCGTTTCCGCCTCGTCCTGCCACGGTCTCATCCCACATAAAACACCAACTTTCTTTGGGAACTGAATCCATAATTGTGAAGTTAAAAGTCCACAACTTTCTGTAATAGAAACTCTGCCCATTAGTTAAATAGGGTGTGGGTAAACATTTTTGGAGGTCCACTGTCAGCATATTTTTGGCACCGTGGCTTTCCATAGCTGCAATTTTATCAAATCCTTTCAAAGTGTATCGTAGAAAGTGTGTAGTGAGGAAAGCGCCTCAAGGTGTTTATGATGTAGAACTTTAATATTATTTTTTTCAGTTTCATCTGTGGCATTTTTGTATTTGGTAACATACGTATCGCAATCATCACAAGTATCATTAGCAGGAGGATTGAAACCGAGATTAAACTCTGTATTAAAAATATGTCTGTATAGCCACGCCTTTGCCATATTCTCTTTCGGTATACCCTCTTCAGTACAGAACTCTAAATACAAAGAATATAATTTATCAATATTTAGGTGGCTTCCAAGATAATGTCTTTCTGTTCTGTTTCGACTATAATGGCTCTCATTTTTAGGTATATTGCTAATATGTTTTCGTACTGTTTCTTTAACTATATCTGCTCTTTTATTAGGAGGTGGATGTCTTCCTCGTCTATCTGCTTGAACAAATCCTTGTGTAGATTTTTTTACCGCGTTCCTCACCACAGTTTCTGAAATAGCCAACGTATTCAAAAAAAAATTTTTCAAACCTTTTCGACTTTTTCATCAATTAAAAATGTGTAATTTAATGTGTATACTCTTTTAGGTGGTTGATCAGGGTCACGGCGTCTGGATCTAGCAGTTTGAACTTCTGAGACTCTAGATATAATAAATTGTCTTTTTAAATCCCACGTCATCTCTTCCGCGTAATACTTTTGATAAATGAATTGTCTAATAGCGTCGTTTATACGTTCATTACATTTCAATCTGCAATCACATGCTGGTTTCATCTTCTTTTCTGGAACAACTTTTCCTTTCTTAGAAGTATAAGATTTGCCTGTGATTGCGCCTTGCTTTCTTAAATTGCATTTCCATTTTAATTTATTTAAAGTTCTTTTACGACTCTTCTTTACAGAAATTTGAGGTGATAACTCTGGCTGAATATCTGAGGGAGTATTGTTCAATGATTGTGTCATTCCGTCATGTCTAATATTTTCCAGCTCATCGATGGACGACGTATCTGATTCTGGTATATATATCTGTCTTCGTTTCTCAAATTCACGATCTATAGAGTCTTCATCACTGTTTGGAATATACTCTTTATCTGATGGTAAAAAATCTTCCTCAGAGCTCACATCTTCAGTTCTCATGCTATGAAAGCTATTTGTCAAATTTTGACAAATTGCATTTTGTACATATGAAGATTTCAAATAAAACTGACAAACCGCTTATCTCCATATGTATATGTGTGTAAATAATAATCAAGTCGTGTTAATTACACTATTTTCAGTCCAAATCAGATGTACAGATTTGGCTGAATAATCGGGAGGAGGTAGCTTAAAACGAGTAAACTAAATTTTTCATTACGTTCGATCGAAAAATAAAATAAAACTACCTAATAAAATACAAAATCTGTCTATTTATTAACACTGAGACTGAACAAAGTTCGTGGGTCCAGCTAAGTTGATTGGAGTGAAGTCGAGGGCAAAAATAAATTATGCTATTATTAAAAAAATATAAGACAAGTCATACATAATTGTTTACGAGACTCTGAATTTCGTTCATTTTCTTGTGATGCTCATTAAGAGTTTCTGAATTTAGGTCATTATTGAATATTTGAATATAATGTTTTTGAGTTTTTAAAATAACAGCTCCTTATGAAATCTTATGATTTATTCCTGATTTTCAATGTGTAGATAATGTAATCGTCAGAGTATATTAAATCTAATATATAAAATATTTCCGTACTTAAATTATTTCTGAGTATACATCAAAAATAAAATGAATTTTGTCCCTTCTTCTTAAAAAGTTCAGACTAAGATAAGCTTAAATGTCACCTCATAACATTTTGAACGAATCATTTGAGAACTCGTAAGAATAACGTCTTATTATTAACTTGGTAACTTGGAAAAGTAAATCTACGCTCTTGTTGCAAATTAAAGAACTTTGAGGACTGTTTAAATGTCACACAGATTTTCTAACTTCAATTTCTGTTCGGATTATACTCAAGTAGCAATTTCACATAATAATGCTGTTTCAAAGGATACTCACTATAATTTATAACATTATAAGTATCTATTATTAGATTTAATTTTATTTAAGTGATTGAAATATATATTGAATAAAACCTTATTGAATAAAACTATCTATGACAATTTTATATATCTAATATCATTTTTTTATTTCAAGTCAAAATTTTAGAACGCAAAAAGTATTCAAAATCTATAATCAGACGTTTTAACAAAGCTTTGAAGAACAACAATTACTCTGGATGAAAGGTGAGTAAATTATATTTTATTTAACTACTAGTTGAATGTTCATTGAAAATAACAACAACACAAATAAAGTTACTAGTATAATACAATTCAATCTAAATGTTGCATATAGATTTTTAATCATCAAATTATAAATAATTCACTTTTTATATTATTTCATCCCTACCTTACGTTTTCCGTCATTTCTACTTTTAAATATTTAAAACATTTAAAAGCATAACATAAGAATAATTATGAGCATAACTTATAAGTTATCAGAACAAATGTTTTGAACACATCATTAGTAGTTGTTTAACTCGTTTCTCGTTTAGTATTAAATCGTTGCTAAAAATCTGTCTTTTTTGATTGAGCACAATATTTAACTAGCAAAGTATTTAATTTTGTTAATACTTATATGAGTTATAAGAATTATAAGAGTTATATGAGTATTACCTAATTATAAAACTTTTATACATTATTAAAAGTAAGCAACAAAGGAATAGTGTTTTACATCTAACACTATCATTAAAATTGGATTCATTTATTCTCTTTTGAAATAGATTTAACATTCTGTTTTTTTCTTTACTGAACTTGAGAGGCTGAAAGTAAGAAAAAACATTGATTCGTAACTTCATTCTACTAACTAACTTTACGATGTAGAAATGATATGTAGATCAATTAATATATCCTAAAAAAATATGCCTTTATAACGTATCTGTAACACGCAAAAAAGAATATAAAACTTGTAAAAATAATTCAATTTTATCAATCGTATTTCTTCTTTAAACAAATATGTCTTTTAATGTTGGATTTTATAGCTCTTTTTTGAACAAAATATATTGGAATGTGTGATCTTGCATATGTAAACAGAATTGTACCTGAAACCCTAATGGATCGAACTCGTTCTCAAAAATAACACTTTTTTTAACTCGCCACGCATTAATTGTTTCATATATGTAATCTTGAACGTTTCATAAATGTAATAAATCTTGTATTGAAACATAAAACTTCAAAGTTATATTTATCCATTCTTAAAATTTCTTGGAACATCATAGGTGGAAAGGCAAATAAAAATATTTAAAAAAAACTTTATAACCAAAATATATCACGTAGTAAAAGCATTTTTCTATTCTAACCAAAAATAGTAAATGAACAAACGTTCTCGTTGATGATAAAATACTGCGACCATAATTATACTTTGCAATATGAGGCTAATTGCGGTAGTGTTCGTGACCCTATTTTGTAGATGAAACTTATGTGCTCGATTTTCGAAAGACCACATTTTGTAACTGGGAAAATGCACCGACAAAAGAATATATGCAGTGAAAACATAATGATAAAGGACAACAAAATATGATTTTATTACTTTTTCTCTTATACCCACTAAAATAAAATAATAGTATTTTATCCACCGTTCCCTTAGTATTAATTTTTTTTAACTAAAAACTATTTTCTCTAAGTGCTCTTCACGTTTATAAATGGTGAATTATTAAACAGTATAAGAAAAATATATTTTTTATTTAAGTAAATCATATGAAACTTTGAGTTTTGATGCCTTTAATCGCAGAAACTACAGATTTTAAAAATAAAACTTTTGTCATGAAATATATGAAATGGTATTTTTAGGATGTAAATATAACTCCGGAAGTTTGTGAAGAACGTTGGAATTTTGTCAATTCTACATGGCCATATGTTGCTTTATGTACGATATTTTAGAAAATAATTTTATATTTCGCGTAATTTTTATATTGCCATTTAAAAGTTTAAATGATCATAGAAACTTCTGAAAATCGAAATAGCTAAATACAATTTGATATATATACATATTAAGGGCTCTACATATATGTATTTGTACAGCAACTAACATTGTTTAATAACCTACAACGTGCGAAAAAAAAATTGTTGCACAATATAAACACTTTCTTTACAAAAAAAATATATTGTATGGTCAATTATATATTTTAAAAACTCACTATGAAGGCTGGTAGAAAGTTTCTACCACAATTTTGTTGCACTTGTCATAATAAACCCTTATCAAAGTTTTATTGCATAAACATACATATATATAACGACAATGTAAGGTTGTAAATTGAAATAAAACTTTTTAGTTTTTTAAATTTTATTAATATTTTTGGATTACTGCGCGTTCAGTTCAGAGGGGTACACCAGAAAATTCGGACGTTGTTGGCGAAAGCAGCTAAAAAACAAGACAAACTGACAAACATTCTCACCTCGTCTTCCCATGATCACGGTTGCTGTAAAGTAACTGAAACGTCTGGAGTACATATGTCATTTTTTATTTTTTTTATTTTAAAATAACGTGTAGTAATCTAAAATATTTGTCTTATTTAACTTATTTACTCGCGGAAGTGTTAGATCTCATTAAAGTAATTATACAGGGTGACTGGTGAATTACTATCGATACTTGAGGACGTGATATTTGACGATCATATATGACAAAATAAAAATTAATATAGCATAAATATTAATAAACTTCGGAGTAAAGTTAACCAAAAGTTATGTAATTAATTACGCATCGTGTGAACACCCTACAGATTAGGTATACACACACACTCACACATACGCGTTTGGCGGCGTAGTGTTGTATCAGCACGCCGCTGCACGCGTCCACACTTGGAACACTTGGAACGTGTCAACACTTTATTTATTTATACGGAAATTTTGTAAAAAATTAAGTGCCTATTTTTTTTTACATAATTCGAATGAGAATCATGTACCGAGTATTCTCCTTAAATATTGATAGTAATTCACCAGTCACCCTGTATAGGGGGGGCAACCGGAGGTTCCAGGAAAAACTACGAAACATACTTATATGTATATTAAAATACGAATTACATATTGAAACTTATAACCTATACCTAAAACTACATGATTGCCCCGATATTAGGATGACAATGGCATTCTATTGCTTGTGTGGTATGTGGAATCTTCTGGTTCACACGGCTTGCTGGTGGTTCTGCGGAGTCAGCGGCATCACTCGTTATACGATATTTTACCGATAAAAAGATGTCGCCCCGGCGATGTTCATTTTTTTCTTCTTATATAGCGCGTACCTAACAAAGTTGTAAATATTGTTATAAGGTATAAACAAAATTTAACCTATTATTTATAAGTTATGTCAGTAAACTTTCGATATCAGATTCGCTTATTTAATTTTATCTTCAGTCGGTTTTTTGGTAATGTGTAGAAATACCTTCTTAGTATAGGATATAAATGAAAACCAACACTTTTTACATTTTTCTAGTTTAGTCATCCCTTCCTCCGACAGTGTTGCCAGAGGCTAATATAACAATAATTAATTATTTTTGTATAAACAAAATCGATTTAATTAATAAATGACAATGTTTTGATGGTCTTATAAATTAGTTTTAATGTCTGAAATATTGTTTTAATTATAAATTAATTAATTTTCTTACTAATACGCCTGAATGTGATTTCTTTTTCATATATTTAATTAATTTTACTGCATTTTTTTTTTCATATATGTCTTTCAATCTTTTTATGTTCACTTTTATAATTAATCAGCCCTTTGTTTGAATGTTTTATTTAAGGAAAAGTAAATTTATTATTTACATGCTATAAAACTTGAATAGTTTTTCGACGTTGCTAATAAAATACCAGCTTCTGTACGATTGATTCAATTCCCTGGTGAGGCATATATTATGCTTAATAATAGACTAGGTCAGTGTAGAGAAAGAAAATAAAGATATCTGCCTATCTAGAAAGAAATTATAAGACAGGGCAGACTTTTGAAAAAAAATTGCAATAGTGTTTTCGAATAATCTGTAGAACCATTCTTCTATACTTTTTTGTTTAAGACTTCGTTGGCCCAGCAATCCTAAGTTGTTACGGATATTTTAATTAAAACTTCACCA